TCGGCGATGTAGCTGGGTCAATCTAATTTTCCAGCGTGGAACAATTCACACAGTCCTGCTGCATTCCTTTGAGTTGCCTTTCTTTAGATCTTAACTACCTGGTCTGCCTGTTGTGTGCTGTAACTCATCAAAGTAAATGGACAAAAGGAGTAAAGTGGGAAGGCGAGTGGCCTCTATATCCCTTACAGAGACCCTCCTGTGGTCACCCCCAAAAAGCAGATTATGGGGGATCTCTATTCCCAGAGGGATTAGGGATACTGGAGGGGCAGTAAGCTCTCCCACAGCAGTGCCTGTGGTCCCCCTGTGACTTTACCTACATCCTGCAGCAGGGAGTTCCACAGGTAAAACATTAAATCAAGTAAAAGCTTTTGCAAAGGACTGATGGTTGGCTTTTGTTGGGCACAGGTTTCAGGAGAAGGAAGACTCTTGAACAGAGAAGCACAAGGGCATGGAGACGAAAAGACGAGGTGTAACACCAACCCCCTTTATCCTGAACAACTTGCTTCACTTCTTAATGAGATCCTTTTCTTGGCTCAGGCCTGGGCTGACAGCCACCACCCTGTGTTCTCTGCCGTGGGGGACCTGAAGCATGAAGGAGCAAAGGAAGAGCATGAGCACACCCCAGGTCCTGCAGAGGTGATTCCCAAGGGGGTAACCATTGAGGATACCCCATCCCCTAGGGAGATCCCAACTCCTGGTTCTCTTTTGGGGAACTCAGTCTCTGATATAAAGCTGCTTTCGCAGCTCTTACGCTACACTCCAGCAGCTGCGTTCTCACAGGAAAGCCCATTGGTGTATTATGCTTTGGAGAGGGGCTTAGGTCCCCTCTTTCAGGATCATGTGCTTTGGAGGACAGATCAGCTGGGGAATCCTGAGTGTGTTTCTGGGCTCAGCTACCAGCCCACTCTGCTTGCGAAAGTAAATAAAATTCTATTTTGTACATGAACCTCTGTTACATTCTTCCTGGGTGTTGGGGAACCTGGATTCTTTATGGTTCTGTAACCACCAACCTGTTGTGTTTGGGGGGGGGGGAGGGAGAATGGGACAGGGATCCCTTTTACCCTCTCCTGACTGACTCCCCTCTCTCTTCTTTCACGTCTAGTTCTGAATTTGCAGCCCTTTGCTCATTCACACTCCATAGCGAGATCAGGGCCCCATTAGGCCAGGTCCCACACAGACATACTGCTTGCCCTCCCCTGGCTCCCCCTTTTCCACCTTCTTGTTCACCCTTCCACCCTGTCGCCCCAAATATCTCCCCTTCAGCTCCCCCTTTACCACATGCAACCCTTGCTCCATCCCAATTGCCAAGCAAAGCCCTCTGCCCTCGTGCACCCCTCTCCTGAATTGCTCCTCCTGCCCCCTTCAGCTTTCCCTCCCCGATGATTGATCCACCCAGCCCCATCCCCCTATTATGCCCCTATTTTCCCTCTCCATGACAGGTTTGAGCCTACCCTCCCCGCCATAGCCCTGCCCTCTGTATCTCCCCTTCTGTGACCACACTGAGCCTGCTAGCCCTGAACCTGCCTGCTTCCCTCCCATCCATCCCCGTGATGCCTGTGAGTACCCACCCGGCTGTAGCTCCCATTCTGCCACCCCCCCCACCCTTCTCCCATAGCGCACCTCTGAGCCCCTGTCT